CTCTCTCATCTTTTTAAGTGGGAGAACTTGCACAATTGGTGGCTGACTAAATACTTTTTTGCCCCACTGTAGTTACTGCCAAGCAGCCAAAACACTATCTGCCACTCATTTTTGGGGTTGGCAAAAGACGAAGTCCAATAATAATAATAATAATAACAACAACAACAGCAGCTGTTGTTGTTGTTGTTTCCAATTACCAAAATATCAGAACTTGGTTTTAGTTATTTTATTCCAAAACAGTGCTTCATAGTGAAAGAAGGAAGGAGAGATGATCTCTGTGTCATACACATACAGACACGCACAGAATATTTAAAATATGAATACTGTAGAATCTCTGTACGCATAGAATTTGAGGTAAACTTACATTATGCTAACAGAACATTTATAAAATATTTGTAGCAATCCATGTTATAGTTGTGTGTAGGCTCTACAGAACATTTTTATTTGAAATGTTTTAAGTGTGAACTTCTGACAAATGGGTTATTTCATAGGTGGAAGTGATCACTGAAAAAGAGCTGTTCCAAGCTTAAAAACTGTTTCAGGTTCAAAATGTTTGAATGCTGGGGTGCTCTGAACATTGTGTTGTCACTTGAAACAAGACTTTTGCCCTTCAAAGGAGACATTTCACTGAACTTCACACTATAAAACCTTCAGTCTTTTACAGACTCTAGTACTGTTTTTCTAGATGATCTGGCCTGGAATCAAAGGAAGGGCTTCATATTAATATCTTTAAGCTAAGATCCAGAGTAGCCCCCTATCTGCTTGGGAGGGGTGAATGACATTAGTGGGAGGGCTTAAGGGATGGAGGTAAGCTCCACTGAAAAAGTGAATTGCACCTGATATCAGCTATTTCTATTTCTGTATACAGAAAAGTGCTAAATATAAAATAAAGCAGAGCGCCAAAATGGATGGTGCAGAGTCACCAAAGTACAGTTTATCATTGTAGGTGTCTTGAGTGTATTGATCTTGGTTACACTATAACTTTCGCCTTTAGACTGAGATCCACAGATCCATGTTTGTTGAGATTACATCTGTGGTTATTAAAAGTTCTGTAGTGGCTGTCCTCTTTCAAGAATAGCCCACTCCAACTTTAATTTGCTGCAGTTGATGCACTTGTAGAAAAAGTTTAGAAGAGGGTTTTGTTCAAGGCCCCATTTGTTTGATGGATTGTAGATTTCCTATATTTGTCCTAAATTGTAAAGACTAGAAATGTAGGGTATAATAAATTTGGACAAATTCAATACTGTACATTAAGCCAACCCTGCAAGTTTTGTCACTAGGTCTGATAGTATGCAGTCATAATCATAGTATGCAGTCATAATTTTTGGCACTTTGATGAACTATTTGGATTAATCCCATTCCAGTATCATGTTGAACTAACTGGTACCTTATCAGAGCTTATTTGAAGAATATATCAATTCAAATATATTGTCTGACATACTGTTACATACTGTTTGTTTCCTGAGGATACAGTTGTCCATTTGGAAACATATAATCTAGGTCCGAGGAGTTGTAAGGCTTGGGATATAAAAATAATCCCATTTCTTTTGTAGCGGTGGTTTCTTGTAGCCCTATGTATATATACCAAATAAAATTAATTAGATTATAATTTCCTGATTTGCTTTGACTGATTTGTTGTAATTGTTAAGCTTTGGGGCAATGCTTATATCCATTTTTCTTATATTTGGACATATTTTTAAAAAAATTAAAACCAAAATTCTTCATAATAGTGTACATAGTTTGCCACTTGATCAAATTTACATACTGACTATATTAGGGTTTAAATCTTGATGATTATTAATATGGAATAATTTTTAACATAGTGCTGAGAAGGTTCAAGAAATCATGTCATGGGTAAAGGCTCATCCTGTCAGTACACTTTCACGTTCATCTTGTGATTTACAAATTCTGGATGCAGCTATTGTTGAAAAGATTGAAGAAGAAATAGAGAAATGCAAGGTACATAAAATATTGTTTAAATTATCTGTCTCTTACTACAATATATTGCGGTTAAGTTCCAGACTTCATTCAAATTGCTATTAGAATGTTGTACATTATGAATTCTTGAGTGTAATTTTGGACTGTAAAACAATAAAAAAGACCATTTTAAAAAATAAAATAAATGAAAGCATGTAGGAGACTTTAGCAGCTTATCTGTTAGCTCACCTGTTTATATATGCATAATCTATAGCACCCAAAGTAATTCAGATAAACTTTGAATAGAGTTTACAACCCAGGAGGTCACACATATTTAAGGTTACTTTGAAGGTTTTGTTTGTAGTTACATTACATTTCTTTATAATCAGTTATATAGACCAATATTTAATGTTGGAGAGCTCTAAATAACCATAGTTTAGAATATCCATAACACTAATTATATATGTGACTGTCCCCCAGCACAATTATTGTTTAGAGTGGGAATGAACAAATAATGGTTTGTCTGTTAAGACCTGTGTGATTAGACAGAATGGAAGGCTCTGGGCAATAGATGTGCCCAGAGCCTAAAGTTGTCTTTCTCACATCCTCTGTTTTCTCTTTCTAGCATGCTACTTTTTCTCCAACCACCCTTCAAGCAGTGGGCTCTAGTGAAGAGTCAGAGAGCTGTTATATGACTCCTGAACTGATCTCTTAAAGAACGGTTTTGAAATTAGGCTGAGCAACAGCACATTAAGCTAAGGGCTATAGGTAGCTTTGCTATCAGTGTTGATAGGAAGATATCTATGATAAATAGATATTATAATAGGATAAAAATGTTAGGATCCATCTATGTGGACTATAATATGTGACTTTTTAATTTTGTATGCAATAATTATGAATGATTTCATCCAATTATTTTTGCTTTTTTTTTAGCAAAGAAAAAGTAATAAGAAAGTGCGTGTAACTGTGAAACCTCACTTATTATACAGAGTAAGTTTGGGATATTTTAAAATTATAAATTCAGTTGCATAGGAATTTTTTTAAAGGCAGTGGCAAACCAATTCCATAATGTTGCCAAGAAAAAAACATGAACGTGTCCATACAGTCATCATGAGTCAAGCTTAACTCAAAGGAGATTTTATCTTTCATACCAGCTTCCTTATTTTTTTTCTTCCATCTTACATATGCAAAACTGATGAACATGGTATGTTAAAAATGGCAGTGCTGGTTAGATGGTGTAGATTAGCCTTACTATACTTTCGGCTGGCCAGATTTGAAGTTTGATTGCTTTCTAGTGACTTGATACTTTTGAGAAAGCATCCCTACATGAGATCATTTTAGTGAGCGGGACATACATTATTATTTAATCTTTTCATTTTAATAAAACTGAATGTAAAATTAATATTCCAAGAGGCGTATATCACTAATTATATTCTATATTGTATTCATATTTAGTTATTTTTGCTATAAATTAAATCTTTGGTTTTATTAGCCTTTAGAACAACAACATGGAATTTTACCAGACCGAGATGCAGAATACCGATTGTTTGACCGTGTTGTGAATGTGAGAGAGAACTTTTCTGTTCCCCTTGGACTTCGTGGTACTGTAATAGGAATTAAAGGAGGTATGACTGAATTTCTTTTTAGTTTTTGATCATCCTGCCTTTCATTTGTGAATGACCTCTTTGTTTAAAAAATAGTGATTACTATAAACTGGATATTTATCAAAGATAATTGAGGTTAGAAAGATACATCTTTTTTGTTTTAATGAGATGAATTCAAAATTCTACAAGCTAAAAGCCCCTTATGCAGTGGGGCTTGTCTGTACCTTTCTTGGTATTCTTGAAGATAGTCAGGGATTCACCTGAACCACATGGACTGCAATGGGGCAGAAGAATTTCTCCACACGAAATGCGGGCCTCTCACTCTCCCATGGCGCTTCTGCTCTTTTATTGCAGTACCCTTCACCATAGTTCAAACTGTTTAGAAAGTCCTCTAGCCTTTTCAAAGTGTACAGTTGTGAGAATAGGAGAGACTGGAAAGCTGTTTTACAAATGAACTTTTATATATATACTTTTGGATCCAAACAATTAACATAATGTTTTTGTTTGCATGTTATGTGGCTACTGCTATTAACCTTTTTTTAAACATAGTACCCATACCATACATCACCTTCTTGGTTAGTGTAGAATGGAGTAGGCAACTATGGTTGGATGAGATGTTATATTTAGTCTAGAGGGAAACGAATCTATGGTGTTTTTGTAGCACTTTAACTAATAAACATATGCTTCTACAGTATAACCAAACAGGTGAGAAAGCCCTAGCAGTATTAATTTGTTATCTGCATAAAATATAAGAAAAAAATTGCTGCTGATCATTTTTTCTTATTTTGGAAGGTCAAGAACATGTATTAATTCATATAACAATATGCCATTGTATATATTCTCATTTTAAAAACACCATACACTGTAGTGATGTTTATCCAGTAAGACTGAAACTACTTTAAAACTCATTGAAGCACATAAGTCGATAATACAAGAAGCTATCAACAGATTACTTCAACATATGTGTGGCAGAGATAGGCTCCATCCCCATTACACAAAATTCTTATTTCATTTAAACCAACTTATCTTAACTTTGTATCCTCTGGGTGTGTTGGACTGTAACTCTTCTTCTGGTTGGAGGCTAGAAAAACTCTGACAATGGGTACATAGTCAGCAACTTCACCAGAATGGACAGGGTAAAAATTTTTGTTCTGTTTTTGTTCACACATACCAGAAAAGTTTAAAATTTAGCTGCTGAAAATCAACAGTTCTGATGGCATGTTTTGGCACAGCTGTGGGAGTTATAAAAATGGATCAGAGGGTGCTACCTCTGGATTATAACATTTCATTAGTCATAGTAGTTGGGAATTCTAATCCAAAACATCTGGAGGGTACCAAGTTGGTGAAGATTAGTCTAAGTAGTCAACTGTATTGACCAGGAAGGTCAGTTAGTGGAAACCAATTTAGAGGACAGTGATAGAAATCCTTAAATGGCACTTCCAATCCCTGTAAGTAGCTCTGCAGATGAATACATTGGTGTTTGACTATAGAAATTGTAGTAATAAGCAATAGTATTATGCCTTTCTCTAGCAATTTCACACTGGATGATATTGCTTACAATACATATTTTCTTTAGCCAGCAGAGAATCTGATGTGCTGTATGAAGTACTATTTGATGAAGAATTTCATGGAGGCTTAACAATAAGGTTTGTTGCAGACAATTACTTATTTTTCATAAGTATTTCAACAGAACTTCAGGAAACATAAAATAATTGTACAACAGTGACATTAAAAAACATTTTTCTAGTAATTGTGTTCTTTATGATCTGCATTTATTGCCATTGTAATTACTCTGTAAATTTTCATTATATCAATGAGAAATAGAGATCAAAAACACCTCCATCCGTTTGCTCAGCCCCATAAAATCTGAACTTAAGTGTGTTAGATTAAGTTCACTTTATTCTCCATCTGTAATATTAAATATTTATATTCTATAAAAATTTCTTAATATATAGTTTGGTATTAGACGAGTAATGACTATGGCAAAGCTGTTTTCATTTCCTTTCTTCCATTAGGAGTTCACCTTCCAGAGGGTATCGCATGCCAGCTTGTGCCTTAATTAACATATCTCATGGCTATCGATCTGAAGCAGGAAACCAGAAATTAACGGCCATAGTCAAGCCTCAGCCAGCTGTGAGTGCCTATAACTCATATTCATCTGAATCCTTTTCTATATCTTCCCAAAAAGCACATCTAGGAGGACTCAATCATTCCCCTCGTTCCCTCTTCATTCCAACTCAAGTAAGTACATATTCAGTTACCCAGTTCTATCATAGAAAATAAAGGTATTGCTAAAAGATGTTCTTGTGTGCTGATAAAAAAAATTACTGCAAAATTTAAACAAGGCTTAATAATTGTCATAATAATTAGCTGAGCCAGTTTGGTCTAGTGGTTAAGGCTCCAGGCTAGAATTCAGGAGAGTGTGAGTTCTAATCCCGCCTTAGGCATGAAGCCAGCTGGGTGACCATGGACCAGTCACACTCTCTCAGCCCTAGGAAGCAGGCAAGGGCAAACCACATCTGAAATCTTGCCAAGAGAACAGGGATTAGTCCAAGCAGTCACCAGGAGTCAAAAAACCCGACTCAAAGGAGCACACACATACACACACACAAAATAATAATTAGCTAGTACAGATTTATCCAGATTTATATATGATAAAGGAGGAAATGATAGTTCTTAGATGTGCCTTGAGCAGTGAGGTTATTGGTGCATGTATCAGGGAAGTTGATTTTTATATGTGTTTCAGATAGATTCTGTCCCATAACTTTATCTAAAGAAACAAAGTGGATAATGTCCCTTAGCAGCTATTGTTAGAATTATCCATTATATACTGTGGGCATATTAAGTTGGAATATCAGTCTGTCAGAAAAAATGAAAAAGTATGTTAAGTATGTAATATTTTAAAGAGGTGGGAAAGTTGAAAAGTTATTTTGTTTTTTTGTTTTTCTTAATCTACTATCCAGCAATTGAATGGAAGACAGCATAATAGTATCAAAGCAGAGAAGCAGGGCAATTCCAGTTCTCTGCAGAAAGTAACCTATACAAGTAGCAATCAGAAATGTAAAGTAAGTGGTTTTACATGTCATCTTAGGGTAAATGTTTTTGGGTTGTGTAGGAGGTAGGGTTAGGGTTTGTTTGTTTTTGCTAAAGGAAATAATAAAATGAAAAACAGATTGTATATTATTTGGTACATTTCTGTTTTTCAGTACTTTTAAGATACGTGATGATGTAGCACATTAAAAAACAATTTTTAAATAACAATAAGATAATCATAACCTAAAGCAATGCAAACAAAATAATAAATAACATCAGGCGAAGGCAATAAATTGGACACATTTTCCAAAAAGTAGCAAGTTGCAATAGATTCAAGAAAAGTACAAAATATTTTAAAAGATGTGAAGAAATGTGTTTATGTAAATATTTTTGTTTAACAAATTTATAGCACCACATATCTCTCCAAGACACTCTTTTATGTTTTTAAGTACTGAATCAGCCTGTGACTTACACTTCAGATTATATAACCTTTGATAAGATTGTCCCAAAATTAGTGAAATCTTAATCAGTTGAATTAAACCAATTAACTCTATACCTTATCTTTCTGATAGTATCCCCATAAAATCAATTCTAAAATATAACTATTTAGTTTCTTTTGCATTGCAGTGCTGTAATAAGCACCTTCTTAGTTGGCAACCTAAGATATAAGAGGATAGATCCAAATTTAATTTTTCTTCCACTTATTTCAGTGGGTCTGCTCTAAATATGGCTAAATCTAGAGCCAATCTAGTTGCCATATATTGTTAAAAATGGAATAGGGTGGACTAAGGAATGTTGAGTAGGTGATAATGTCATGGCTGCCCAGAATCAGAATAAGAACTTTATTTAAAAAAAAAAGGACCCTTCTCACTCCCCAAAGCCTAGGATGGAACAGCAACAGTGGTAGTAATAGCTAATGGTGAACCAGTTTGCTTTTTGAGAGGATGGAAAATAATAGGGAGATAGTATTGTATGAGTACTGAATAGGGTTGATAGCACACAAATGGGAAACTCATGAAAGCTTTTGAGAGTTTCTATATGGAAGAGGAGAGGAATGGTTGTGTGGATTGAGGCCATGGGGCATGACTGTGTGTTGAGAAAGGGAAAAAAACAATTGGAAAAAACCTCTTGGTGTAGAATTTAGATGTACTGTCTCTGTAAAACAGTATAGTAATACTTCATTTTGGGGCAGTTTTTCATGAAAAGATGAGCACTTCTCTTCACTTGTATCCATTTAAAAGTGAATGGCTACTTTATTCCCTGAAGCCACCATAAGATTAGATACCTGCAACTGAAATTGCTAAGTTGTTGAAACTTAAGCCATGCCTAGTTCTGTGATAATAGAAACATTGTTGAAAAAAATTCATGTGACTCCAGAAGGTTATACAACCTATTTTGTTCTGCAGTGAGTTTTTCATAGCAGAGTTTGCATTTTATTTGTTTTGCTTTTCTTTCCTAGCAAGCTCACAATAAACAAGATGATGAATTTTGCAACATTTGGCAATCACTGCAAAGCTCTGGAAAGTCTCAGCCTACCCCACAAAATAAGCATGACATGGTCAGTATATGTCAAAAAGGGACAACAATCTCTTTTGTACCAATTTTATATGGTATGTTGATGATCACACCCAAAAAGAGGATAGGGCCAAAAGGTGAAAGAAGAGAAGGGGAAAGGGTTTGTTTTTTTTTAAAGGTAAGTTATAAATATTTACCAAATTAAATAAGTCAATAACTAAAAGCAGTGACTAGCCATCAGGAGATCCAGAAGGGCACGAAAGCCTTACCAGACAAAGAGTATATCACATACATTCTATTGCCAGCATTGCCTGATATAATTTCTTTTTAGATATTGTTCTATCTAAACTATGTAATGTTTCAGATAATTTTTTTGTTGTAAAGTAGGACATCTTTGGTTGGTTGATTGATTGATTATGTGCCATCAAGTCGATGTTAACTCTTGGTAGTCACATAGATTTTCTCTCAGACAATCTGTCCCTAAACTGGTCCTTCAGATCTTCCAATGACACATGTATTGTTGCTGCAATTGAATCCATCCACCTTGCTGCTGGTCATCCTTCCACCTTTCCCAGCATTATGGATTTTCCAAAGGAGCTGGGTCTTCGCATAATGAGTCCAACGTAGGATAATTTGAGCCTGGTCATTTGTGCCTTGAGTGAGAACTCTAGGTTGATTTGTTCTATAATCCATTTGTTTGTTTTCTTGACTATCTGTGGTATTTTCAGGAGTTTTCTCCAACACCAACTTTCATAAGCATCATATTCTTTCTGTCCTGTTTCTTCAAAGTCTAACTTTCACTTCTGTAGGCTATCACAGGGAAAACCATTGCAGTTCTGACCTTTGTAACTATAGACACCTTCCAGTATCTGAATAACTTTGAAGGCCTTCATTGCTACTCTACTGTCAACCACACTAAGTAGACCAGACCAGGAAATCAACTCCAAAGGAAGGCTAAAACTATTTTTTATTGAGATTCACTATAATCTATAATAGAATCTTGCAAATCTGATTGTGCTGCACCTCCTTCTCCTTTTTATACTCCAGTGAATTAGGGAGGCATCTGCTGAGACACTTCTGAATGTTATTTCATTGCTCTCAACTAACAACATGTTTCAATTCCTTTTGCCTAGGTAATGGTTCTTGCATATTTATGTCAAGGTCATCTTCCTTACTCTCTACATCTACCAAGTGCTAGTCTGTGGTATATATCTTGATTGCTGGTTTCTTTACTGTTGATAGTCAATACTAAAAGACAGAAGTTATCTACTACTTCAGTATTTTCATTGTCAGTTCTAAGGCTGGTTGCTATACCTGTTGTCATTAGTTTGGTCTTTTAAAATTTAATCTTAGTCCCATTTTTTCATTATGTCCCATTGGCTTTTATTACTAGAGTTTACAGATTGTTTGCCTTTTCAGCTGTCAGAGTAATCAGCACAGTGCAGCTTATTGATATTTTTTTCTCTAATTTTAAAACAACTCTCATCTTCCAATCCAGCTTCTCTCAGGAAATATTCAGCATACAAGTAGTCCTTGCTTAACAACTGTTCATTTAACAATGGTTCATAGTTACGACAGCCTGGGAAAGGGTGCTTTACAGCCCATAAAGCACTTCCAGCTGTCATAAAACGTCGCAAGCACCTCCCATGGTCACATGGCTGCATTTTGGGTCCTTGGCAACCAGCTCACATTTACAAAGGGGTGGCCAACTGCATTGTGACCATGTGATTGCCATTTGCAATCTTCTCTGCTGGCTTCCCCAGAAAGTCAACGCAGGGAAGGTTGCAAGTGGAGGTGATGGAGGGAAACCTCTCAGCAATGCACAGGAACAAAGCTCAAATCCTGAAGATTTGAGCTCCGTTTCTGCATACTGCCAAGAGGTTTCCTGTTCCCTCTCTCAGCGGTATACAGGAACAGAGCTCAAATCCTGAAGATTTGACCTCTGTTCCTCCAGCCCCATGAAGGATTTCCCCTCTAACCACGGAGGAGAGGGCAAACCTTTTGGAGGGATTTAGGAATGTTTGAGAGCAAAAGAGCTGCCTGCCGGGAAGATTTCAGCCCTGCATGGAGCTTAAATCCTTCAGCAGACAGCTCTTTCGCTCCATCCACTCACTGACCCAAGAGATTGCTTAATGACCGCAACTGGGATCACTTAACGACTGCTTCACTCAAAGATTGAGATTCCGGGCCCAATTGTGGTCATTAGGCAAGGACAACCTGTACAGATTGAATAAATAAGGGGAGAATATATACCTTTGTCTCACTCATTCACCAATCTGTTTCACCATGTTATATCTGGATTGTGGCTTCCTGATGCATGTATAGGTTTCACATAAGCACATACTGAGGGTTTTTTGGTATTTTTTGGCTTTCTCAATTTTGCAGCAACAATATCTCATGTTCCTCAGCCTTTTCTAAGGCCAGCTTGAATATTTCACTTTCCATGTAGAACTCTATGTTGGATAATCCTAAACATTATTTTGCTAGCATGTAAAATTAAAGATATTGTATCTTTAGTACAGACTAAAAGTCTGCACACTTTTAATGACATTTTTAAAAGATGCAGTTCAAACACTGAACATTTCTGAAGGTCTTGCCATATACTTTGAATACGTATTTCCGAAATATTTATTTTTCAACTTTTTTTCTGATCTTTATTTCTTTTAAATAGCTAGAAACTGCCTCCAGTTTGCCAGAGTGGTTTGCACTGAATTGCAATGATAAAAGCTTAGGAGGTAGGGGTGGGGCAGTTTATGCAGGCCACAGCTTACCCTCTCCTGTTTTCCTTCCTATATAAAATCTTACTCTTGCAAAATCTAATTTTCTAGGATGAAGTTTTTTTACCTCAGTATGTAAAATTAAGTACCAGTGGCCGGTCCTGCAAACCAGGTTTTAATGAGAATAGCTTTAAAGGCCAGCAAAAAACCCAGGACTCATTTAGGAAATGTAAGTACTATAGTGTATAAGTTCTTTAATCTTCTTTTATATAGGAATCCTGTTTTGAAAAGAGTTGATTTCAATGAGTATCACTGAATCCTATGCCAAATGATGTTTAAGGGAGAGAGCAGGATGGCTGTGGATCTTAATTCTTGAAAATTCCTCCCATGAAATGTGCTTTTGGAGTTTTCCACTGCAACTTTGCATCCTGATTCTATCTGTTTTGTCATAGTATGGTATCTAAATAGATAGAGCATGAAGGAAGCTAGGAAAAATATACTGGGTTGTGTGAAGAAAGCTCATTGTGCTACCTAACAATAAACCCTACTACAGTTAATAGGATTTATTTCAGTAGACGGATACGTTTTGTCTGAATGTTCTTTTTCATTGTATTTTACTATTTAAACTGATCATATGAATTTTTCAGTTCCAGCCAAAGAAGATTCTAAAGAGCCAAGAAATGAAGGTCAAGCACAAAAAGTATCAAATAAACTGGTAATTGTAATCATTCTGCTTGCATATGACTTCTCATAATTGTACCTTTGTTATTTATTTCCCCAAGTTACTTTTGTTAGAGGTCTTTTATGGAAGTCAGTTGAGAATTTTATTATTCAGCAGATTTGTGATAAGCAATACAGTATTGCTTTTAAATGGCTTACAGCAGTCATTCCAATATTTTCCTTTATATAGACTAATGGCATCTGCATTATAGACCAAAATGGCATCTGCAAGATTCCCGAATTATTTTTTTAATAAAATGGTTGAAATATGAGAGGATGACAATTTTACAAGATTTTAACATTCTCACCCACACTCTTGCAAGAGAATGTCAAGATCTTTTGGAATTTTGCAGTTATTTCTAATAATTTAGAAAGTACTTCGTTATTTACTCCAGGACCAGTAGTGATCTCCAGATTACAGGTTAAGAATCACTTGCCTTCACCTTTACTGCTGGGCCTTATAGAAATATGGAGAGGGATCCCAGTCACTATTTAGTAAGACTGCAAAGCCAAGGGAGCTTTAATATGGTGTTTCCTGAACAGCAGTATCCCTTACTTCAGTTTGGGCTACATAGCCCTTCACTTCTGAGAGCAGGAAGCAATTTAAATGCTCCTCTGAACCTGCTGCTAAAGATGTTGAAGTGCCATGTCCTCTTGAAGGCTCAGTGTGGCTACTCTGAGGCCTCCCCATGTTATTTCAGTATCATAAAAGATACGTCCATCAATTGGATTTGGAAGAGTGTTTTCTGAACCACTCAGAAACCACTCACTCTACTTATGTTGCCCGAGCACATGTACAGTCAGGTCCAGAAATATTGGGACATCGACACAATTCTAACATCTTTGGCTC